CTATACAAGTATTCATTGTCGTAGTTATGAATATTCTCATTCAAGAGTACATAAAGCAAAAAAAGTAGTTGATAATACTAAACAGTATAAATGTCACTCTGCAGCAATTAACTGCTAGTAGCATATAAATTTCAATAATCAAAAGGACACTATACAAATAGTTTGTACTTCACTTGAAAATGGCTACGTCATGAAATAAATTCTATTATTATTCAGACAGCACCATGGTTTCATAAAATTTCTAGTGAAATGTTAAATGATATTAAATTTTATATGCATTCAACAGAAGGCATAGGTGCTAAAATACAATACAATTTTTTAAAAACAAAATATCCAGATAAGCACATTGATAAAAAAGATCTGTATAATGCAATTCAACCGTTTTGTGTACTATCATGTGAAAAAGTAAAGACAGATACTGTGGAAACCCTTCAAAAATTAATAGTATTAAAGGCAGACGATCCTGAATAAGTAGTTGTACCTAATATTGAAGGTGAAGAAAATAGGTTAACAGCACTTTTTTCGATGTTTCCTTTACAAGTATCACTCTGAATTCAATATAATGAAGTAGTAATAACAGATAATACCTGCAAAACAAATCGTTATGAAATGCCGTTATGTTTTTTCATAATAATAGATAATAATACCTGTTCATGTATTGTCATACAGATTTTATTAGAAGACAAAACTCAAGCTTCCTTCGAATAGTTAGTTTTATTATTATTATTATTGCAGTGATTCTTTTCATATTGCCTTTATATTCAATTTACCATTCAATATTTTCTTCTTATACTAATTTATTCATATTACCATTTTTACTATTCAATGTTTTCTTCTTTTACTCAAATATTCGTATTACTATTTTTATTATTCAATATTTCTTTTTTTACTAATTTATTCATATTACCATTTTTACTATTTAATATTACTTCTTTTACTAATTTATTCATATTACCGATTTTATCAAAGTTTTCTTTTTTAACTCATTTATTTGTATTACTGTTTTTACTATTTAATATTTTCTTCTTTTACTCATTTAATATTACCATTTTTAATTCCTTTTTTTGTATTACTATTTAACTTTTTCTTTTTTATTTATTTTATTCATATTATCATTTCTGATCTTTTATTTTAATAACTTTTTAATTTTTAGAGTCTTAGAGCAATTAAACAATGTGACAAATCAAACTATTCTGAAGACGGTTTATACCGATGCTGATTCAGCAATAGGTGCAGCTTTGCAAACCATATAGCCTAATGCACATCATTCCTACTGTATTTTTTATCTAAATAATAATTTTGTTAAAAAAACTCAAGGCAATTATGGGTAAAAAATTTGATAAATATTACAGATTATTTTATCACTTTTGAAATAGTTTGTTTAGGGTTGATTTTGAGTATCATTAGACGCAATTTGTAGAATTTTTTAATCCATTTTCTAAAGCATCATAGTATGTACTTGAAATACTTTATTCTATACATCAAAGTTGAGCTATTTGCTATACACAAACAAGATTTACTGCAGGCATCAAAAGTATCCAAAGGGTTGAAAGTATGAATGCAATTATTAAGAAAGAAGTATCACACAGTTCAACATTGTTATATCTGATTGATGCTATACAAACCTATTTAAATGAGAAAGCATGATATATATGAATAAATGAGCAAAAAAATATTAATCCTTCTGTAGACTTGCCTCATATTGCTAGTCGATACTTCCCCGCTATTAATTTGCTAATTCAGAAATATTTGACCCTCATATTCTCTCTCTTCAATGACAACAACTTTCAGAAAGTTTTCTATACAATACCTCTGAAATAATATACGAATAGGAAAATGATATGTCAGAACCAGTAAATATTATGGAGAATGGAATTTAGAGGATGATTATGAGCATCGCCAAACATATCTTAAGACATTACTACAACCTTTACAATGTGAAGATATCGCACAGATTTGGACTATAGCACCGCAAGGATTATTTCTAGGCCATTTTAATCACCATGTAGTAATTCTTATAGATGGTACACATTTATGTACTTGTCTCACTTTAGTTAGTAAAGGAATCATCTGTCACTATTTTATAAAGGTTCTAATGAAGTCACATCTCACTATATTTCACATTTCTTTGATATCAGCCTGTTGGTATAAAAATAGTAAAATAAGTGTAAATAAGGATCTTATTTCTTTACATCTATTCATTAAATTGTGTGAAGTTAATGAATCTTCATTGTATAACGACACACTTCATATAATTAATTTTTGATATTTGTCTTGGTTTCGTATTTCAAATGTATTTACTCCCTTATTGCAAAAAACTTTAAATGAAAAAATGTATTGGTCTAAGGGGCACAGAATAGCAAAAAAGATACTTAGTTTAATAATAAGACTTAATTGTGATGATGAATTTTTTGATATGTTGGATGAGTTTATTTTATCCAAAACATGTGAGTTGAAACTTTTGGAGGAAAACAAGGATGGTAATAATATACCACAACCACCACAACAATCACAACCTGCTATTAGTAATCCGCTCATAACAAAACATCATAGCAGACCATCTAAATGATTCAAGAGTGTATTAGAATATACTACCAATGTGCGCAAAGATAAATATGATTTAATTAAAAATAACAAAAGAGTACAAGAAAAGAATAAAAATAAATGTGCTAACTGTAGAAATTATAGATATAATGTTCGAACTTACAATTATATAGACTAAAGAATACAATTAACGTTATAGAATTGTTATATTTAGCTTGTTTTAATCTGTCTATTAATTGGTTGTTTCTGCTCACATTTATAATCTATATATCTGAATTGCGTATTTATAATATTTCGTAAAAATTTATTTAGCTTATTGATTTTGCTCTAAGTTTTTATTTGTTGATATAATTGTCAGTGTTATGATGGTGAAATTAAAACTTGAAAATTGTGTGATATAAAATAGAAAGTCATTTACAATTTTGGTGAGTTTTTTATTGCTAGTATTTTTATATAAATTAATATTAGCCTTTAATTGTTAGAACCAAACTCAAATATCTCTTAACCTACAAAAAATTACAGTACGCAACCCAAATTTACAAGAGCATATGTTAGGACTATTAAGGAGTTCAAGTTTCCTTTTTTTTAATGGTATCATTATTTGCAAGTTATCTATTCATATTTCTTTGCATAAAGCATAATTTTGAGATTTTTATATTCATTATCATTATCTATTTTTTATTAGGTGAATCAAAAAAAAAATATACATGCGAAAATTTTGGTGCAATCAAATTGCAAGGTTTAATACAATTTATGAAATAGAATAACCAATTTAGAGTGGGATTAAAATTAGAGAAACCTATATATCCATTATTTATATTGATATTTTTACGATTTCTGATACAATACCAATAAAATTTTGTTTGGATATCTCCAAATTTGGTAGCATTAATAAATCTTAATTTGTTTAGTAGAATTTTAGTTTATTCTCGTTAGCGTATTTTATGCAAAATAGAAATTGTTTATCATTATACATTTTCTAAATATTTTAATATTTTAAAGTATTTATGATTCATATCTATTTTGATGTATTAAAAATAACATTTATATCATGTGATTATATGAGGTTTTTGGATAGTTTTGAACTAATCTATAAAAGTCTAGTACAAAGTGTGAGATGTATCAGAATAGATCCTGAGATAAATACTGCACTGATACTAAATCAACTTCTCTAACTTAACCTTAATAACAATAAGGCTTCAATTGAGGCTTGCAAAGACTTGGTTTAAGTAACTAGGGTTAATTAAAGCTCTAGATTATAGTACAGTCTCTTAAAATATAGAGTCACAAGATTTAAACACTAATTTTTATTGGTTATATAGATTTTACTTATCAGGAGAATTAGTAGAGCAAAGCATACTACAATATTAAACTCAGTTTTTTTATTAAAGATAGAAGGTAGTACTTTTATATATGTGTATTATTAGTGGATGCATAATACTAAAGCAGCTAAGTTTAGTAAATTCATTAAAGCTATATACTAAATTCAGTCAAATTTACGAAAGTTAATATCAAAAAATTCAGCAAGCAAAATATGCCAGAATCAATTTGTTAGATCGCTCAGACCAGACAGCTAGTATTGATGGTTAATTTAACCAAATCAAGCAGACAGATGATCTAGCAGTGCCTGAAAAAATGCATGCTTCCAAATAAGTGTAATTTAATTAATTGCTTATTAGATAATTACTAATAATAACTATATTGTCAGATTGAATATAAAGTTGTGAAACTTATAAGCTTTATGACCCACAAAAGCAATCTGATGCTTGGTATGCTTGTAATTATCTTTATACATCGATGGTGTATTGTATGAGACCACCAACCTACACATCATGAATCACGAAGATAATTACTAATAATAACTCTATTGTTAGGTTGAATATAAAGATATGGAACTTCTAAGTTTATGACCCACAAAAGTGATCTGGTGCTTAACATATTTGTAGTTATTTTTATATATCGATGGTGCAGTGTGGAGACTACCACCAATCAATTGGTACTACATATCACAAATTATGAATTTAGTTGATAATGATAATATTTGGCGAAAATATGGTTGCTATTTCAGATCCCAGGTTGTGCATATTCTAATTAGTAAAATTCTATGAGAAGCATTTTTACTCAATTTGCAGGAGTTATTACTGGTTTGTATTGTAAAGGGTGGTTTCGCTTCGATTGTTTATACCTAAGATACTCAATTTTTTTTAAAAATAGATATATATTAACTTGGAACATCAACAAAAAGAAATAGTATTGTCCTTTTTTCTGCTACGTATACTAGTTAAACTCTTTCAACCCTTTCAAAATTTGTTAGAAAAACAAAATCAAAATTTATTTAAACAAAATTTGTAAATTTATTGTACAAGTTTTGAATCAAGGCTAAAATAATATATAGTAAATACTAACTATCCAAAATATCATTTTTGATCTATCTAAATTAAGGGTAGAGTATACATAGATCATTTATCATATGATCTGCATGGCAAATTTTTTTTGTATAACAAATTACATAGTAAACACAAATCTAATT